TTTGTAAAAAATAAATATATTGCTAAAAGAGAAATAATAAGACTGTAATTTATAACAGAGTAATATGTATTTCAACATATAAAGCGTAGGTACAAATACTAGAAAATATGTATAAAGAAGTACTCAGATCTTCTATATAGAGACAACTGCTAAGATGCAGGCACATACACGTGTGTTTCCTCAGTGACTCAAGTGCATTGAGTGGTGCTACCAATGATGAAGCAATCAAAGATGAAAAACTATTCCCTGTAAATCTCCGGATAAAATTAAGTCGTCTTAATTTCTCTTGCAGCTGCATTCTTTTAAAAACTTAAGTACCTATCAAAACAACATGAAACAATGCTGCTGTATATGTAATAAAAGTGTTATGTTTATGTGTAAAACAGGGCCCCCCAAATTCATGTGAAATCCTGATGCCCGGTGTGATGGTATTAGGAGACCAGGCCTTAGGGAAGTGATTAGCTCATGGTGGTGGAGGCTGCATGGCTGGGATATGTGCCCTGAAAGAGAGGCCCCAGACCTCACCTCTTCTGCCAGGTGAGGACATAGAAGATGGCGGTCTGCAGCCCAGGAGCGGGTCCTCCCCAGACCCTGACCTTGCTGTGCCTGGAACTCAGACTTCCAGCCTCCAGAACTGTGAGAAGTAAGCGCCTGCTGTTTCCACGCCACCCGGTGTGTGGGGCTCTGTTGCAGCAGCCCGAGTGCAAGAAAACAGACAGTTACATTCTAGGCTCAGCTGATGGTAAGCAGATTTTTTTTTTTTTTTTTTTTTACCTTCAGGCATGTTTCAGGAGGATGTTTGGAAGTCGTGTGGTATGTGGGACAGTTCTCTGGGAATACTGCAAAGCATCCAGCATCCAGCACTTAAGACTGACTCTGGGACAGGCCCAGATGTCGTGATGCTGTCCCCAGTTGGGGCTTCACTGGCTGAACTTTCATCATCATGATCTCTGCACCCCATCCCCCGGAATCTCACAGCAGCCTCGGAAGGACTTGAAGGACTTTCAAACAGAACCAGGAGGAAATGCAAGTAACAAGCATGTGACACTTGGCGCCGCGTGAGAAAACACCAACCCGAGGCTTCTCGGGGGAGGGCAGAGAGTCATCTGTATCAAACGCCTTTGTTAAAAGTTCCAGGCTCCGCTCCACACCCTTGAGATCAGCTCTCGGGAGGACATGGCCATGGAGCCCGCGCGTTTAATAAGCTCACCAGGTAGGTCTCAGGCATTCACAGTTTAAGGGCCTCTGAGGCCATCGTCCTATCACACAGTGGCCGGTCTGGCCAGGCCCCCGCGGCATTTTGGCAGTAACCCTGCAGGGGCAGCGGGGAGGCCCCGGCACCCCCAGGAAGGCCACCTGACTTCACCTATTTCCTTTTCAACCCTAGCTTTCCTGAAGCACCATAAAAATAGCCCGCTCGGTTAAAAAATCTCCTTTCCACTCTTTTTAAAGAGGATGATTTCTTATGACTTAGACAAGGAATGATTTCATCCTCTAAACATGACTTTATGCTAAAACAAGGTAAAAACTGGAAAATAGGTACGTGCCTTGTGGACAAGGTTTTGAGGGGGCAGCTCTGCTGATGACGGCAGAGCACTGCGGGAGGCGGAGTCCTGAGGCTGTCATATTTCTCTCCTCTATGAGCCCAAGTTAAAAAAAAAAAAAAGGTGTTTCTGTTTATATAACTGTATAGCCACAGACTCAATTTCTAACTCTCACTCCAGGTTTGCTTTGCTTACGTTTTAAAGCACTGGAGGGTATTCCACTGGTAGGAAATACTAGTGACGGTGATGGTGTTGATAATAACTCTTTACCCCAGGCCACACAAAGGGTCAGTGACAGGCAGGGTTTGACCCAGATCTACCTGAAGCCAAAGCTTCAGCTCTTGTCACTGTAGCTAGCACACTGCGCTTTGACAAGGTCATGGATACAATCGTAGGAAACTACGCCTGACACCAGGGCTGCCTGCAGGACCTTGGCCTGTGATCAGCCTCTGCAGAAGAATGGGAAATCAGAACCTTGGGGTGTAGTGCAGGTGTAGGGGTGAGGGAGGGAACGGAGGAGGTTACCGATGGGAGCAGGTCATCCGGCGAAAGCTAGAACCCCAACAGGCCAGACTACAGAGGAGACCCGGCCACTCAGGAAGGGGCAGGGGGAGAGGGTACGTTCCCCAGTGTCTCCCTCGCTGTTACACCCCAATCTTCCGACAGCGCCTCCCAGTGGCTACACTCAGTCAACACACCCAGGAGCCCAGAGAGCCAAACTATCCGTGGTTCCCTGGAAACACAGAGCAGCGCCAGGGAAGAGCAGGGGCTGGGTGTGAGGGCAGACAGACCAAGACAGGCACCCCCACACTGGATTTTGTTGTTGTTTTCCAAAACAAAGCACCTAAAGGCTCTTTTAAATAGTACCCCCCAATACCTTTAGACTAATTGATTTAGCAAGAACAAAACAATATTTTAAAATCTCATGTGACTTTCAAAACATCAATTATGCAAGCGGGTATCTCTGTAGACCTGCAGGCCGCTGACCCCTGGAGACAGAAAGTGTTATCATACACCGCCTCCTTGCCGATGGCCTGTGGAAGCAGTTGCCTGGCTAATAATTCAGAATATGGATTTTGTTTGACTTATTACCTGAGGGGAAGGGAGCTGGCTACAAACAGTATGGTCGTCTGGCTGAGAATTTTGGAAGGGCTGCTCACTGGAACACTTTCGAGCTGGCCTTTGCACGATTGTATGCAGTGTGAGGAGCCGGCGCGCTTGGGCTGCGAGTCTTGGACATAATTCTTGAGAAATGTGAGGGTGTCAGAGACTCCAGGTCTCCGGAGGAAGGGCAGTCAGAAGGTTCCGGCGTTCCGGTCGGCTGTGCTCTGGGGATGGGCAGTGCCCCTTTCTGATTAACCAAGCGCTGGGCAGGGAGAGCTAACGCACCCCAGGGCGAGCTGGCTGGGCCGGGTGCCGGGGCAGGGAGCCCGTCGAGCCTCCCTGCAGGGTGGTCGACACCAGCGTCCTCCTTCTCCAAACGCCCCGTGGCACGCGGCTTCATGTCAGCGACGCCTGTGTCCTGTGTTTTGGAAGGACACAGCCAAGGTGGGAGATTTAAGGTGGAGGTCACAGCCTTTGGGGTCTGTTTTTTTTTTTTGTCTCAGAAGTCTGTCTGCTTATCTTTACTCCTCCTGAGACAGGAGGGAAGGCAGTGGGGCACAATCACTAAAAGAATGACATAGCCACTGAGAATACGACAAAAACAGGTGAAGACCTATTAGGCACCTGCTAGGCCCAAGATGGCGGAAGATCGGACCCCCAGTAGCCCTTGAGCCTCACTGTGCGCACGCTCGTTGTACTAGGTCAGCTGCCGAGCAGCACACCCTCAGGCACCGAGACAGCTCCCAGGCTGACCATAAGAGGTCAAAAAGTGGCTGGGGCCCACTTCCAGGAAATCCCTGCCCCTTCCCCAAAACAGTTGGAATAGTCCTCCCACTTGTTAGCCTATGAAATTACCCAGCCTGTAAAAACCAACCACCCTATGCCCTGGGGCTTCTTGCCTTCTGAGATGGCAGCAGTATCTGGGGTGGGGGGGGTGTCTCCCTTAATACCGCTACTTTCACTTAACAGTGGCTCACTCGAATTTCTTTTCATGAGTGCAGCCGAGGACCCTCACTTGGTGGGGTGCATCTTAGGGACTCGCCGAGACCTGGGACACTACCACCGTCTCCTGCCCCACCCCAGCAACTTGTAAGCATTGCTGGCCTTTGCCTCTGGGCAAGCCGAGTCAACACTGCAGGCTGGCCCTCACCGTCCTGTTCCCCACCGTCCTGTTACCAAGTTCAAGCTCGTGCTGCTCTAATACGTCAAGAGAGAGGGAGTTGTTGGAGCCAAGAATAGTGACTTCATTTGGAAAGCCAGCAGACCGAGAAGATAGTGGCCTAGTACCCCAAAGAACCGTCTTCCCCGAGTTGGAATTCAGGCTTCTTTTCATGCTGAAAGAGGAGACAGTAAAGTGAAACATTTCCTGGTTCCCGGCAGCCTCTGCAGGGGATGTGATCATTTCTTCCCACCTGCAGCCACTCACAGGTGGGCCTGGTCAGGATGTTTCCCGGGAGCTGCGAAAGGTGTTTTAGCTTAATGCTAATTACCTGGGAGGCAGAGTTCCCAGAGCTGGGCCATGAAGTATCAGATAAGCTTATAGGCAACCTCCCTTTAGTGATTAACTTGTAATAGAACGCAAATGTTCTTCTCAATTATAACCCCACAGCCAGGACAAAAACTGCATTCAGTGATACTGAAAAGCACGTTACAGTTTACCCAGAGTTTTCTCTTTCTGGCTCATTCAGTCCCTGCAAACACTCAGGAGGCAGTATTTTCTAATTCCACAGGCGAGGGATCTGCGTGTTGGAGGAACAATTGCACAGACTCGGTGTGAGTCGCGGCCAGCGTGCACCGGCTGAGCCACTGACTTCACCTCTGTGCACCCACGTCCTCATCCTTAAACAAGACAGTAATTCCGAGCCGGGCTGGTTACGAGGATTAAATAAAACAGTGTGGAGTGTCTAACAGGGCCTGGCTGGCAGGCCGGCACTGTTAATTCCAGTTCCCTTTCTGACCCCAAGCTTGGCGAGGTGCTTCTCCTATTTCGACGGCAGCTCCTCCTCTGAGGTCCAGAGGCCACTGGGGGTGCCAACTGTGGAGCACCGTGCGCGTTTGGACGCGATAGTTAGCTGCGTCGGGGACCAGCAGTCCTTAAAGGAGTGTGTGGAGACCAGTGTACAGCTAGAGAGGACAGCGGGGCGGAACTAAGGGTCCCGGGGACGCAGGGCTGGATGCCCGGCCTGTGGGGGCCATTTTTCAGCCCAGGAGACGCCGGCGCCCCAAGGCGCACCAGGCAGAAGGGCCCAGCCAGCCTCCCCCGCCCTCGGGGGACATTGGCCGCCCCCTCCCCGTTCACCTCTGCCCCTTCCTTCTCCCTCCCCCA